GAGTCTCGCGGCATGCTGTCACCCCAGGCTGGAGTGCAGTGGCGCGATCTCGCTCACTGAAGCTCGCGCCCCCACGGGTTCACGCATTCTCCTGCCTCAGCCTCAAACCGAGTAGCTGGGACTCATCAGGGCGGCCCGCCACCCATGGCCGCGCGCTAGTTTTTTGTATTTTAGTAGAGACGGCGGTTCACCGATGTTACGCCAGGAATGCGTCTCGATCCTCCTGACCCTCGTGATCCACGACCGCCCCTCGGGCCTCCCAAAGTGCTGAGGGGATTCGACAGGCTTGCAGCCAACCCGTCACCCGCGGCCTTAATATTTGTTGTATTATTTAGATACAGACAGAATTTCACCATGTTTGGCCAGAGCTCCATGTCATCTGAACTTCCTAACCTCAGTAATCCACCTGCCTTGGCGCTCCCAAAGTGCTGGGATTACAACGGCATGAGCCACAGTCACCCGAGGCCCGCCTACGTCCACCAACCTTCACCCGCCCGTTTTTTTTGGTTTTGTTTTGTTTTTGTTTTGTTTTGTTTTTGTTTTTGTTGGACACAAGGTCTGGCTCTATCACCCAGGGCTGGAGTGCTGTGGCACAATCTTGGCTCACTGCAACATCCACCTCCGTCCTCTAGCCCATGCCTTCACCACAGCCTCTGAGTAGCTGGGACTACAGGTGTGGCACCAACCATGCCCGGCTAGTTTTTTTTTCCTTCTTCTTCTTTTTGTATTAGTAGAGATGGGATTTCACCATGTTGCCCAGGCTGGTCTTGAACTCATGAGCTCAAATGATCTGCCTGCCTCAGCCTTCCTGAGCGGCTGGAATTACAGGCATGATTCACCGTGCCCAGCCCACCTGGCTCATTTTGGACTTCGGAACTCCTGCCCCGGCAGATAACAAATTTGTGTTGTTTTAAGCTATGATTTTTATTATAATTTGTTACAGTAACAGTAGGAAAATAATATGACAACAACAGAGGTGTGGCAGAAGCTTACCATCTTAT